CAGCAAAGGTGGCATTTTTCCATCTCCGCCATATCAAGCAGTTGGTCCCTTACCTTTCTCGCCCTAATCTGGCCACAGTGATCCATGCAATGGTCACCTCCAGCCTTGATTATTGTAACTCGCTCTACACCGAGCTGCCCTTGAAGCTGATCCAGAAACTCCAGCGGGTGCAGAATGCCGCGGCGAGGCTCCTTACGGGGTAGTTGCCGCAGGATCACATTCATCCAGTGCTTTACCAGCTGCACTGGCTCCCGGTGGAGTACAGGGTCAGGTTTAAGGTGCTGGTTTTGACCTTTAAAGCCCTAGGACCCACGTACCTACGGCACTGCCTCTCCTGGTATGCCTCACGGAGGACCTTAAGGCCCACAAATGACAACATTTTGAAGGTCCCAAGTCGCAAGGTGGTTAGATTGGTCTCAACTAGGGGCAGGGCCTTTTCAGTACTGGCCCCGACTTGGTGGAATGCTCTGTCACAAGAGACTAGGGCCCTGCGGGACTTGACATCTTTCCGCAGGGCCTGCAAGACAGAGCTGTTCCACCTGGCCTTTGGTTTGGACTCGGTCTGACCTTAATGTTTCCCTTCCCTTACGGTTTTGATCTATGGGCTACTTTTAAAATGAGGCTGCATTTTAACTTGTATTTTAACCCGTATTTTAAATTGTTTTTCCCCCTCTATGATGCTTTTACTGTAATTTTACTGGTGTTAGCCGCCCTGAGCCCGTCTCTGGCTGGGGACGGTGGGGTATAAATAAAATTTATTATTATTATTATTGTTTCGGGTCCTACCCTCCAAGCTTTTTCCCTCTTCCGTGTGCCAGCCCTTGAGATATTTGAAGATGGCTATTGTATCTATTCTCAGTCTCACTTTTCCAGGCTAGACATACCCAGCTCCTTCAACTACTCCTCATAAGGCTCAGTTTCTAGACTCTTGATTCTCTTGTTTGCTCTCCTCTATTGCACACGTTCCAGTTTTCTTCCCCTACAAAAGGTGCATGTTCTGTTTTCTGTGTTCCGTCAGTTAAGCCAATAAAATGCCTTTTTACCCATTCATACATATTTACATGCTCAAAAACAGACGTGCCAAGGAACCCTAGCAGACCAGATGCTTCCAAGTGACTCATGTGTCTAATATATTGGTAGAAAATGCCTGTAATTATGTATTTGCCTTCTGGGCTCATACTTAATGTGGGAAAGGCTCTAATTACAGATTTTTGAGAAGGGGTTGACAAGCTGACAAATTTGCCAACAATCTTTAGCTTATAATTTTTTATTTAAAAAAAAACAGCCTTTTTTAATGTAAGTTTAACTTCTGGCAAAGTCTGTCTGAAGTGGGAGGATGAGAAACAAAATTCTCAAGTTGACTTAATGGGTCTTATGTCCCTAAATGCACACAAATAATGGAAATAAAAAGGTACCATTTGGAGTGGCTAAGTTTTTGGACGTAACAATATCCTTTCTGCCTCGGATCAGGTTACCGTATTTTTTGCTCTATAAGACGCACCTTTTCCCTCCTAAAAAGTAAGGGGAAATGTGTGTACGTCTTATGGAGCGAATGCAGGCTGTGCAGCTATCCCAGAAGCCAGAACAGCAAGAGGGATTGCTGCTTTCACTGCGAAGCGATCCCTCTTGCTGTTCTGGCTTCTGAGATTCAGAATATTTTTTTCCTTGTTTTCCTCTTGCAAAAACTAGGTGCGTCTTGTGGTCTGGTGCGTCTTATAGAGCGAAAAATATGGTGGTTTACAGTATAATACAACTACATGTGTCTGTAGAATGGGCTTACTTATCTTTGTATAGGATTGAGCTGCACACACAACACTTGAGTTCCTTCGCCTCACAACATGTTAGAAGTTTTTGGAAGCTCAGAAACGGAATGAGCTTCTTCTCATCCTCAACATCAGGCGACAACAAACACCTTCATCCTGAAAGCCTTCAGGCTGAAGGCAGTCTCTGCCTTGGCTGTGATTTAAAATACAAACTCTTTTCAGTGCAGGCTTAGTATGTAAGACCCAGCATATATTGAGTGATTTCTAACAGATTGGCTACTCAGTCAGTTTTGTGACAATTCAGTTAAAGCTGCAATTCGGTGCATGCACCCTTACCCTTACTTTTGAGTAAGCAAATATAAGATTGTGCTTTTACCCTTTGACCTCTAGGTTTCTATTTGTAATTGGGAGTTCAAATATATCTATTCTGCATAATACTTTGGATAGCCATAATTTCAGTGCCTGCCAATTTATCAAGTGGTAATAATAATAATGGCTTTCTTTTAGTCATTTCATGTAAATTTATGAACGTCTCCGAGATTCTTAACTCTAGACACTAATTAAAACCTCTGTGTACTCTTCTTCCTGAAGTAATATCCCTTATGTAGTTAATTAGCAAATTAAAACATCTCTTTCTGTTCCATTCTATGTCAATTGTGTTTTCCAGAATTAATTATAAACTTTATTTGGAGTGCTTGGTATATCTGCATGACCGAAGCATACAACAGTGACCACATATTGCAAGCAGAGAGTTGGATGAAACCTCATAAGCCGCCAGGGTCCCATCCAATTCTACAATTCTGTGAGTCTATGATTCAATCAGAGCTTCAAATCTAATCTTTCAGAGTTTCTAGGAATAATATTCCTGGATATTTGCCCTGTTTCAAAAGAAAAGATAACCACGAATTCATATTGTCCTTGATTTCCAGTCCATGTTTATATGCAAATCCTTATTGCCCTCTCATTAAAGGCAAACTCTTATAGTCAACATCTTTAAGAAGGAGTTATTTATTTATTTTTGGGTGGGGGCAGGGTCACAGCAGGAAGAATGAAACCGTAGCATAATAAGTTACTGATGCAAATCATTTCTGTTGAAGTTCAACTCAGTGCCATACAGGAAGTTGCCATGAAACTCCGATATGTATCTTAAGATAAATTCAACAGTGTAAATAAGTTTTGATGGATGTAGTAATGGAATACTGAATGGCTTAGTTTATGTAAAAATATGCAGGGATTTATCTTATGCAAAATGAACCATGGAAAGAGAAGAAGGGAAGTCACTGATATTTTAAGGTTTCTTAAATGAATATTCTAAAATGTAAAACAGAAAATTTAATAAAAATTATAGGGGGGGACGGACTCAGATATATAAGCTAGGTGCCAAATGTCTCCTTAAACCAAGATTACAGTTGTCAGAACAGAATGTCTATTTACCATTTTTGGTCAAGTCTGCTCTAAAGTCATATTTTCCAAATGATGGACTGACTGTGATTGACTATCAGTTAAACATCTGGCTAGTTCAGATGGCAACCTTGAGCTTGGTTGAGAACTTTGAGAACCCTAAAGAAGAAAAGTCACTTGATCTAGTGATCTAGTCCACCTATATTTTTGGCCTATTCCGACCTCTTTTTCTTAATGGTGACACAGGCCATTCATAACGTAAGAATATTCTTCACAACTGTGAACAGGGCAGCCAGGTGGGGTAAGTGAAGATAAGCAAGAACAATTAACTATGATATTGTTCACTGCTCCTGCTCAGGCTGCACAGAAAAAGCATTTTGGCTCCTGAAATTCATTCCGATTGTGCAGATAAAATACAGTCATACCTCGGGTTGAATGTGCTTCGGGATGAGCGCGTTCGAGTTGCGCTCCGCAGCAACCCGGAAGTAACGAAGCACGTTACTTCCAGGTTTTGCTGCTTGCGCAGATGCTCAAAATGACGTCCTGCGCAGAAGCGGCGAAAATCAACACACGAGAGCGCAGATGTGCCATCGCTGGTTACATTTGCTTCTAGGTGCGAACGGGGCTCCGGAACTGGTCCCGTTCGCATCTATAGGTACCACTGTAGAACGGATAGAATTCTACAGGATGTGGTATTAGTGTATACAAACAGTCCAGATCCACGGATTCCCAGGCATGCACCCTCCAGATGGAGATGTCAGGCACCATCCTGACACCCAGGCATCTTTACTTGGTCGCAAGTAGCCACTAGCCAGGTGCCAAATGCGCCTGGCTCCTGGCTAATTTCGAACCCTAGAATCATAGAATCATAGAATCATAGAGCTGGAAGAGACCACAAGGGCCATCGAGTCCAACCCCCTGCCAAGCAGGAAACACCATCAGAGCACTCCTGACATATGGTTGTCAAGCCTCTGCTTAAAGACCTCCAAAGAAGGAGACTCCACCACACTCCTTGGCAGCAAATTCCACTGTCAAACAGCTCTTACTGTCAGGAAGTTCTTCCTAATGTTTAGATGGAATCTTCTTTCTTGTAGTTTGGATCCATTGCTCCGTGTCCGCTTCTCTGGAGCAGCAGAAAACAACCTTTCTCCCTCCTCTATGTGACATCCTTTTATATATTTGAACATGGCTATCATATCACCCCTTAACCTCCTCTTCCTCCCTGAAACCAGTTGTTGGAGACTACAGGAAAAGGAGAGAGCCCTTGTGTTTGAATGCTGCTTGTAGGTTTCCCGCAGGCATCTGGTTGGTGTCTGTGAGATGCTGGACTAGATGGGCCATTGGCCTGATCTAGGAGGGAATCTATGTTCTTACGACCACCCAGCTGTTGAACTCTGCCAATTCCTGACCATTTTACTTTCTTGGGCTCCATGATCACTGCAGATGGTGACAGCAGCCCCGAAATTAAAAGACACCTGCTTCTTGGGAGAAAAGCAGTGACAAACCTAGACAGCATTTTAAAAAGCAGAGACCTTGCCAACAAAGGTCCGTATAGTAAAAGCTATGGTTTTCCCAGTAGTGATGTATGGAAGTGAGAGAAGAAAAAGAAGAGGAGTTTGGACTTGATATCCCGCCTTTCACTCCCCTTCAGGAGTCTCAAAGCGGCTAACATTCTCCTTTCCCTTCCTCCCCCACAACAAACACTCTGTGAGGTGAGTGGGGCTGAGAGACAAAGAAATGTGACTAGCCCAAGGTCCCCCAGCAGCCGCATGTGGAGGAGCGGAGACGCGAACCCGGCTCCCCAGATTAAGAGACTACCGCTCTTAACCACTACACCACACTGGCTCTCAAGAGCTGGACCATAAAGAAGGCTGATCGCCGAAGAATTGATGCTTTTGAATTATGGTGCTGGAGGAGACTCTTGAGAGTCCCATGGACTGCAAGAAGATCAAACCTATCCATTCTTAAGGAAATCAGCCCTGAGTGCTCACTGGAAGGACAGATCGTGAAGCTGAGGCTCCAGTACTTTGGCCACCTCATGAGAAGAGAAGACTCCCTGGAAAAGACCCTGATGTTGGGAAAGGACGACAGAAGACGAGATGGTTGGACAGTGTTCTCGAAGCTACCAGCATGGGTTTGACCAAACTGCGGGAGGCAGTGGAAGACAGGAGTGCCTGGCGTGCACTGGTCCATGGGGTCACGAAGAGTCGGGCACGACTAAACAACAACAGCAAACCATGCTGAGTGATGCTGATAAGAGTAAGTGCTAGCAACATCTGGAGGGCCACAGTTTTCTCGGTCCAGTGTTAAGGGAAGGGAAGAAAGCACAGCCACACACTCCGCTAAAAGCAACTATTTGTATAAATAGAAACTTAAGCTCACTTTTCCCGTAAAGCATAACATTAATCATGATCCACGATGTAGATCTACTTATTTTCAGGCAGTTCCTTCCCCATTCCATGCCAGTCACATGCCTGTTTCGTAAAGGAAAGGCTACATCTCCACAAAGAGCCAAGCACAACATTGAACATTTCCTTTGTGGTGTAACCTGAGCTCGAAAGATGTTTAAACAAGCAAATACGTTTTATCAACCTTGGTGATACGATTATTTAACCACTGAACTATGTGATCAGCTGCCAGCAGTGACGGCCGAAACTCTGGGTGGAAAGCAGAAGTAATGGTATATTTATTATGGCCTGTGCTGTATAAGGCCATGAAATATACGTGTTTTACTGCTGAGATCACAGTCGTGGATTTCAGTGATTGGTTTGGCTTCCTCTGTGATCGCAATCTGCATGTATACTTTGCTTGGTTTCATTGTTGTTTTTCAATTCCGTGCAGATACAGAGAACCTCTTGGGTAGATCATGGAACTGTAGGGCTGGAAAGGGACCTCAAGGGTCATCTAGTCTAAACCCCTGCAATGCAGGAATCTTTTGCCCGATGTGGGACTCAAACCCACAACCCTGAGATTAAGAGCCTCATGCTTTACCGAGCTATATATACCTACATATCGAGCTATATATTCAAAAGGGAACTGGAGGATATCCCTTAAGTGACAGATTTTGCTGGGTGTTGGTATTCTTCTCCTTATTAAATTATTGAATTTATATACCACCCTATACCCAGAGGTCTCAGGGCGGTTCACATTTTATAAAATCAAAATAAAAATAATAACCCAGTAACAGCCCCCCCCCTCAAAGAGCCACATTTTAAAAGGGCATAGGATCAGATAAACCAAAGGCCTGGTTCAAAAGGAACATTTTTGCCTGGCGCCTAAAGGTGTATAATGAAGGTGCCAGGCGAACTTCCCTGGGGAGAGCATGCCACAGACAGGGAGCCACTGCAGAGAAAGACCGTTCTCATGCAGCCACTCTCCGAACCTCTCGTGGAGGAGGCAAAGGAAGAAGGGCCTCAGAGATGATTTCAGGGTCTGGGTAGGTTCATATGGAAAGAGGTGGTCCTTGAGGTATTGTGGGCCTGAGCCGTTTAAGGCTTTATAGGTCAAAACCCTGTGTTTGAATTAGGCCCAGAAACTAAATGGTAGCCCGTGCAGTCGGACCAGGATTGGTGTAATATGCTCAAACATGTCTTGCCCCGGTGATCAGCCTGGCTGCTTGACACGCCGGCGTTGCAAACCCTCAAAACCTGTCATTGGTTGGAGCATGCAAATGGCTCAATTTCACTGGAAAATGGAAGCGTCCATGGAATTTTGTTGGCACCATGATGTCTTGGCAGCTAAGAGATTGTGCTGTGATGGACCTCTCGAGGGGGAGACACACTACGAAGGGCCTCAGAAGATGATCTCAGGGTCTGGGTAGGTTCATATGGAAAGAGGCGGTCCTTGAGGTATTGCGGTCCTGAGCCGTTTAAGGCTTTATAGGTCAAAACCAACACTTGGTACACTTCCCTTTGAAGTAGGAAATTAATCGGCAAGATGTGCACCCAACTTACCACCACTGGCTGAGGCATCATGTCCCAGATTACCAGGTGCTGGGAACCAAAAGTGCTGTTGCACTCGGGTCCTGCTTTTGGGTTTGTGGTTGGCCACTGTGAGAACAGGATGCCGGGCTAGCTGGGCCGTCTGCCTGATCCAACGGGCTCTTAGGTTCTTATCTTACTTCCCCCCAATTCCTCTGGATAGTCTTGGTAATCCTACACATGGGTTCACCCCAACAAACACTGCAGGCAATTTCCTACATTCTTCAGATGTCACATTTTCACTGGAAAGCCAACACTGCCGTAAAAGTTTATTGAGGCACGATTACTCATGTCTAATTTCTCAGGATTTCACAGAACTTTGCAGCTGAACGTCTCTTGGGGTAGACATTGCAATGACTTAAAAATGCTGAATGGAATTGTAGAGTCAAGTCCAAGAAAAATAACACATAGACCAGCACTTCCCACAACATTCTAAGACCTTGATTGATTAAATTGTTAAGTAAAGTTCTTAAGCTCAACGATATCTGTTTCCCTTTGGACAAGGGGCCATAAAAATGTGCCTCAGGCTAAAATTGCCTGAGTTTAAATCCATTGTTGTAGCAATTTGTTAGCTTTTGATTCCAAATGGATTTGGATAAGATTCATCTGAAGTGTTTACCTTTGTCCTAAATGAAACTGAGTCAAATTTCTCAGCAAATTCAACTATGTCTTCATTGAAGAATACCTGTGTACATTAAAACAACTTATCAAACTTGCATCGGGATCAGTTTGACATCACGTTAGCCAAGCTGTCTACTATAACTGGCAATAGCTCTCCAGGTTGATTCATTTAATTTATTTAGACTTTTTCTATAACACTTAATATGCAAAAGTTTCCCTAACCACTGTACAGAAAACTAAAGCAGCAACAAATGTTATGAAAATGCACAAGAAAACAATCAACACAAGTTACCGAGAGGTACATACCGCTACGAATTTTCCCTCTTTTTGACACACCTTGGCACCCAGGACCTCTCAGCCAACTGGTTCTCGCCCAGGGCACCACCCATCCACCCTGGCACTCACCCAGGGCCCAAACAAACTCAGATCACACACTCACAATCCCAACCTCTCCCTAGTCTTCGACTCTAGACGTGCTTTTATGGGCAGGTGCCAAGGTTGATGTAGCGTCCTTTGACTGTCCACAGCTGCCCATTCTGCACTCAGTCAGCTACACTGGACTTGCACCCGGTTCCAGCTGGCAGCTGGCAGATCTGGTGGCACTGGTTGGCCAGGTGAGACAGTGGCTGAGGGCCCAGGAGTTTAGAGGGGCTGTTACTGCCCCCCCCCAATCCCACCAGCCATCCCCAGGCCTTGTACGGAAGGTTTGGTTTGGGGAGTTTTTCCAGGAGGTCCAGAGGATGGCAAATAGGACACTTCACCATTCTGTATCTGGCCTCTGCAAAACTCTCCTCTTCCAGTTGCATTGTTGACCCATGGCGGGGCTTGCTTTGATGGGCAGGCAACAAATTATTATGGGAGAGGTTGGTCTCAGCCTGCTTTCAGGGATTGAACCTGAGAACGTCAGCATATAAACATCAAACTGAGCTATGGCCGTTCTCTGTAATTCAGTGAATTTTAATTAAAGCCAATAAAATATGCCTGATCTTTTCATGCATGTACTTCTTTCCTATGTGAACATAATTTCACGAAAGGTTTAGCCTAATTCCCTAGATGCATGTATGATTGGCCTTGATGTTAATTTCTGAGGTGTAATTTCAGCCGAAGCAACCTCATTAACACTAGGTTTCGTCTCTTTTTCCTTTCCAAAATTCGCCCCCGTCTAATTAGATCTGTTGCCTCCATTTTCAGTGGGATGTGATATTAAGAAATAGGGGCGGGGGGCAATTGTGATCATAACTCAATGCATAGCTTTCTCAAGGCAGCATTAGAAGGGTTTTGAAATGGTGGCGGAATTTGGAAGGAAGTCTCTGTAGTGTTAACTCAGGTATATTTGCGGTAGTGCCGAAGACTTAAGTCAAAAAAGGAAGATAAGGTCAAGATAGTGGTAATCTTCCATTGCCAGAAGCAGCACAAGACCGGGGGGGGAAAGTCATCTTTAGGAAATCCTAGGTCATAAAATATGCGACGCTGTGGGTTAAACCACAGAGCCTAGGACTTGCCGACCAAAAGGTCGGCAGTTCGAATCCCCGTAACGGGGTGAGCTCCCGTTGCTCAGTCCCTGCTCCTGCCAACCTAGCAGTTTGAAAGAACGTCAAAAGTGCAAGTAGATAAATAGGTACCACTCCAGCAGGAAGGTAAACGGCGTTCCTGTGCGCTGCTCTAGTTCACCAGAAGCGGCTTAGTCATGCTGGCCACATGACCCGGAAGCTGTATGCCAGCTCCCTTGGCCAATAAAGCGAGATGAGCACCGCAACCCCAGAGTCGGCCACGACTGAACCTAATGGTCAGGGGCCCCTTTACCTTTTAGGTCATAAAATGGCAGAGGTGGAAATGACCTCAGGGGTCATCTAGCCCAACCCTGACCATGCAAAGAGTCCATTGTCTAGCTTCTGCTTAAATGTCTCTAGTGAAGGAGAGCCCAGCTTGCAAGACAGCCTGTTCCACTGTTTCGCCAGTGAACTCTTGGATATCTCAGTTGGTTAGAGCATGGTGCCAATGACGCCAAGTTTGCAGGTTCAATCCTCGTATGGGACAGCTGCATATTCCTGCATTGCAGGGGGTTGGATAGATGAACCCTCAGGTTCCCTTCCAACTCTACAATTCTATGATTACAACAACATTAACTGAAATCCCTTTGTTTTAATTTCAACCCATTGCTTCGGGTTTTGCCCTCCAGAGCGGCAGAAATCAGATTTGCACCATCTGTTCACCAGCCCTTTAAAATACTTGGAGATGGCTGCCATGTTACCATGTGTGGCTTTAAAAAAAGAGAGGCTTAGATAAAATCACGGGAGAAAATTCTATCGATGGCTTCTGGCCACCACAATGGCTGCATTCTGCATCCACGGACAGAGTCGACTTGTCAGAACCCTGAAAAAATAAGCTCCCCAACTTGTGATTCCTTTGCAGCACTGATGTAAGTCCTGGGGGCATTTTTGCAGGGGAGAACTGGGATGTGGAGGGGGGTGTTTGCTTAACCCTCCCCCAGAAAGCTGATTCTCTCCACTGCAAATGTCCCAACCTAGCAGTTAGTGCATGTTCTGGGCAGCCTCCAAAACTCAGCCGGTGCAGAAATACTCCCCTGAGTGGATGGGCGTTTTAGTTAGTGTGTATCATGCGCTGGAGGGGTTAAACACACACAGATCTCCCCCTGTAAGTTCCCCAATCTCCGTTATCTCAGGAAACTTTTGAGTTCGGACACATGCACAAATAATGTTTAGTTTGGCAGGTGGTTTTGCTGGCTTATTCTGTGTCCCTGGGCATTCTGCCAGTCCTAAGATTTGGTATCAGCAGTTCTTGGCCACAAATGAACAAACAGAAATAGCTGGGGCGGGGACAGGGGCAGTGACCTGTAGGAGCACCAGGTTCTGCATCGCTTGTGCCGTGTGCCCAGTTTTAGCAGATTGTGGTGTGGGTGTGTTTGTTTAGCAGGGCCAACGGTCAGGAATAACGGGAAGAAACTGTCGGACAACAACAACAACCGGAGGCTCAAAAGATTCTCCGTCCCTGATCTGCAAACTCTTCTTCCCAACTTGGGGCTTGAAATAGATCCGTGGCAAAGCTTTGGCAGACCAAGGCTTTGCTCACATGTCATGGAAATCCGTAAAGTTTGGCTTATCATGTGTGCACCCGTATGTCTTCTCACTTGTGCTTGGAGGAAACAAACCACAATTCCTGCTGTAGAGTTGAATCTGAAATTCAAGAAACTATGATGGAGCCAGAGTTTGTCCTTGGCTTACTGGTGATCATGGTTTCCTGGAGCGCAGCAAAGCAATATGGGTTGGGACGTAGTAGTAGTAGTAGTAGTAATTAATAATAATAAGAATAATAATTAATAAATTTTTATTACTTATATCCCGTCCATCTGGCTGGGTTTCCCCAGCCACTCTGGGTGGCTTACAAAATACAGTGGTACCTTGGTTGTTGAACTTAATCCATTCCGGGAGTCCATTCGACTCACGGAACCATTTGAAAACCAAGGCACAGCTTCCAATTGGCTGCGGTAGCTTCCTGCACTCAATCGGAATCTGTATGGGATGTTAGGCTTCCCAAAAACGTTCGCAAACCGGAACACTTATGGGTTTGTGGCATTGGGAGTTGATTTGTTCGTGAGCCAAGGTGTTCGACAACCAAGGTACCACTGTATATAAAAACACAACAAAACACCAAACATTAAAAAGCTGAATATCTTATACAGACCATAAATAAACCAGTAGAATAATAAAAACAAAATAGTAATGATCAGTTTAGTTACACCCAAATTAAAATAACTGCCTGCCCCAAACATTGAACCAACCCCAACCCAACAAAAAACAAAACAGAGGAACCAAAATTGAAACATTTTAAAACATTTTTTAGCCAGTTGCCCCAATCCAAGAGTTGTTCCAGCAATGTCTCACTGGCTTCCCAGGAGCCTCTTGGTTTTTCAGGGTGAGTCTGGGTTCTGCCCCCTAGGCCAGGTGGAAATGGGTCATGCAGCAGGGAGCAGGTCTTCTAGTCTTGAGAGCTTATGGACTTTGTTACAGACCTTGGGTGAGGTTTGCCTTGGATACTGACAAATAAAGCCATTATGGTGTATTGGCACAATTTGCAAAGCAGAGCTTGAGCGCACGTCTTTGCATCTGCTCACCTGTATCTCTCGCCTCTTTGCTGCCTCCCCTGACAAAATGTATGTTGCAAGCGCTCCAGAGATCAGCAACCTTTCCCTTTCCTGCTTCTAAACCACTCGGATACAAGGTCTGCTCAGAACGTTAGGGTAATCCGCAGCAGAAAGCCTGCCTGCCCCTGTATAGATCTGTAAGATCGCTTAGATCTGTGGTTCCTAAATTGGTACAGTACCGCCCCCCGCCCCAGGGATTTCCTAGTAGGGCAATAAGAGGCAAGGGAGTTTAAGTGGGGTGCCTTTGAGAAGCTGGTGTCGATGGATCAAGTTTTCAGCAGTTTTGTTGAATTAATTAAACTAATGACCAGAGAACCATGAAGAGCTGAAGGGCAACACAACATGCCATGGAACGTGGAGTGTTAGGAACATCATCAAAATGTGATGAGAAGCGACTTGGGCCGATGGAATAATGCAGTGTTAGTCTGGACACCCTAAATTTTTGAAACTCCAGGGAGACTGACCACCTCTGCGATGGGTGGACTAAGACTAGCAGGAGTGGTTTACAATACGTCGGTACGGGAAGCAAACAACACAGAACTCTGGAGAGAAATTGGAGAGGCTCAGAGTGCGAGACTCTGCAGAAGAATGGAACTAAATCGTTTTAATTGGATTTGGAATAAATGTGCAATTAATTGTTAACTGTTTTGGATTTTGCTGTGCTGTTATCTTTCTTACTGGGCTCTTTTGAATAATGCTTTTATAGGGTAGGGTAGGAGCTGTGGGTTAAACGCGGGTGGCACTGTGGGTTAAACCACAGAGCCTAGGACTTGCTGATCAGAAGGTCGGCGGTTCGAATCCCCGTGACGGGGTGAGCTCCCGTTGCTCAGTCCCTGCTCCTGCCTACCTAGCAGTTCGAAAGCACGCCAGTGCAAGTAGATAAATAGGTACCGCTCCAGCGGGAAGGTAAACGGCATTTCCGTGCACTGCTCTGGTTCGCCAGAAGCGGCTTAGTCATGCTGGCCACATGACCCGGAAGCTGTACGCCGGCTCCCTCGGCCAATAAAGTGAGATGAGCACCGCAACCCCAGAGTCGTCCGCGACTGGACGTAATGGATAGGGGTCCCTTTATCTTTACCTTTAGGGGGCACTGGGGATGAGTTTGTAGAGCCAGTAAGTTTGGGGACCATTGCTGTAGAAGGAGAACGAGTCTGTTTAGGATCTGTTCTCAAGATGCCCATTTGCCTCCTGCAGAACGTTTACAAGTCACGTTGGCCAAAGATGAGGAGATTGAGTGCTGCTCCGTAATCAACTTGGGCAAACAGGCAGAGACCCCAAAATGGAAAAAATAACTTGCTAGTGGCAAGGAGAAACAATGAGTCTTTTGCCCCCTTTGCTTTTCTTGGGCAAAATGGACAGAATTCCAAATCCCTGCATTTCTCTTTCGCCAGAGACGCTTTTTAATGAAAGGATGTGCACTCCACCCTTCTGCTGCAGTGCAGAGCCTGGGGCAGCTTAACAGTTAAGGTTGACAAAGTGCAAAGAAGCAAGCAAACAGTGACTATGCAGTACAATAACAGCAACAGATAAAAATGGCTTTAAAAGCTGAAGCCTTGTAAAAACAGAGGGGGGGGGGGAGCTAGACTCGTCCCTGAAGCTCTGACGCCTGACAGAGCAAAATGACGTGCGCCAGACAGCAAAGGCAAGGGAGCCAACCAGTTATCCTGTGGCAAGGAGTTCCACAGTCAAAGGCCCCGTCTTCTGATAAGGGCCTTGTGATAGGGGGCCTACGCATTGTCCCAACCAGCCATGCCTCTGCCATTCTCAGGACCCAGAGAACAGATTCTTTCCTCCCCAGCCAACCTTTCAGGGAGGGCAGGCTTATCTGGGATGGTCTTTTATGTCAGGGGCAGCCAATGTGCTGGACTAGATCATAGAATCAAGAAGTTGGAGAGTTGGAAGGGACCACGAGGGTCATTGAGTCCAATCCCTTGCAAACCCAGTCAGGTGGGCAGCATAAAAATTTATTATTTTTATTATTAAACCCTGCTGGACCCTGCTGGACATCTGAAGGCAGCCCTGTTTAGGGAAGCTTTTAATGTTTGATG